TTAGCTTCTTAATCTATCTTTATAAATATCAGACATTTTGTGTTTATAAGAAGTCGACATTATCAAGGACACAAGGTCCATTTATTGGCAATAAATATGAACCCACTTAAATAAGGGCAGCAAAAAATGTCTACCTAACTACTTGATTCGTATTAATTTGACTATATAACAAAAAAATTCCACAGACCATCATTTTAGGGAGATGAAAAGTGTGTCGCTTAAATGATATTGAACAATATGCTTTATTGTATTATTCTCTCAATATATCTTTAAAACTATACCAAAGCAAACATGCTATTCTTTCAAATTGAATTGGGGAGCAATTATATACCTTACTTAAATAGAGTCCATTTGATGCAGATAGCTAGAGTTAATTTGATCTTTATATAAATTAACATATATTTTATGTCGATTGTTGTAAGCCTTTCTTTGCCATCTTATATTTATATAACAGCTAGCAGTCTAGCAAATATGACCTGCAAAGTGTCATCTGCTGAGATCAACCTAGTTTCATAAGATGGGTGCACTTACATTGTCATGTGTATAAAGTATGTTTGGTACATTGTTGAATAACATTAAAGACATTTCACCATACAGCATTTTGTACTACCTTTATATCTTATTAATAGCATGTTCTTGTGTTTACAAGTGATTATAAGCAGTGAATTTTATAGAATGTACTGTAGATAATTAATAAGCGATTAATAGTTATGAGTCCTATAAAATGTGTGGATAAAAGTATTTGACCAATTTTAATTATAATATAAGCTTTGCCAAATATGCACAAGTATTGTTCAAGTTAATTAACACATTAAATATGTCAATGTGTTCTAGAAATATATGTTAATACTGAGGTTCATCATATGATGATCTTTTGATAATCAATAAACCAATGAGTGAATAGAGAAGAATAACGAAAGATGAACAACAGCCCATTAAAAAACTACATCAACAACTATGTTCCTGTTATTTAATTTTTCTTTTCAATTAGGAACGATAACTTTGGTTTCCAATTATGAACAACAGCTACGTCAAATAATTAAATGCACAAAAATATTATTTTAATTAGCAAATTAAAATTGATAGCTTATATTTAAATATTATAATATAAACACGACATTTGATCCAAAATTGACTAAAATAATATTAGTTCAAGAAAATTAGAAAATAAATACTATTTCACGTACTACAATATGAATGACAAAAGGTCCACTGACAAAGACATTATTCTTCTTAAAATATTCTCAGCTTAAAGTCCTAATACTTATCTTGAGAGTAAAAACTAATTGCCTTGTGAAACATATGACATTTACTTTACTTGTATGCACATTCAAAGATCCCTAACGTGTTGTTTTTTAATGCAAGAAATGATTGGAAGATCCCAGTGTTAAATATGTTACTTATGCATTTGGAAGACGTGAATTGTGTTTTTAAAATGTTGAATTGGAATAGACTACTGTGATAATAGAAAAATGATAGTGACCAACATGTTGTATTATTTTGATTTTCTAAAATAGTGTAGGTATATCTAATGTACTTGTAATGTTTTCAACAATTAAATGAAATGTAATTTTATTTTAAGTTAGTATCCACATGCACATTTTTATTTACTCTAAGAGACAATACAAAGATTAATTCTCCTGATTTAATAGATAATATATGTAGTGCTAAGATTTCTAATAAAATAAAATCCGAATCTATTTTCCTTGTTAATATATAAATATATGATGTATGATCCTTGGGGCATTTTGAATCCCAAAAGTGTTTGCATGAAAGGTTATAGTAAGTGTAAATTTGACTATTCAAAAGATTACAACAAAAATATAACAATATGTCAAAATTGTTATTATATTTATTGAAGGTCCAATGACATTAGAAAGGTTAAAGTAAGGACCGTGATTTGGATACATATGGGTTGTTCATTTAACTCATACTTATTATCAAAGTATAATTGTTACTTTAATGCTGAGGCGTGTTTATCAATTCAGACCATTAAATATATATATGCGAATACATTTGCAAAGGTCATGACAGAATTTGTTTCTATGTCAACATCAATGACACCAATATTGTTTTTTATATGAAATTAGTGAACCGATTAGTTAGATGCAGGGTGTCCACATGAAGTTGTGTGGAGAGTTATGAGTTTACTTTTTATGATATGAGTGCGTCTGTTATTTCCCTTCTATTACATATGTTATTTTTCTATAGTTAATCTAGAGAATCAAAATATTAATGTTTCATATAAAAAAGGATGATGGACAATAAAGTGTACAAAAGATCTTTTCAACTATCAATATTTACAAAATATTTTTGTATGAACAACACAAAACCCAAAATGTTGTTATATATGGAATTCAAAACATTTTGTTTGAAATACAAAAAGTAAATTATGGTATGAAAGGAAAAATAAAAGCTGTTCAAGAGGAAGAAGCATCAATAATAAATATGAAGAAAGATATATATATATTGTTCACGGAAGTTGATAATCGTGTTAATGAGCAATGTCAATTGATCATCTGAAATTTGTCAATGGTCGTGCTTCTTCATTTCGCGAGACTGCATTATTACATGATTTGCTCAATGAAGATACCGATCATGTGAATTATACTTGGAAGAAGCTTGCCAGCGTCAGATGCCATGTTCATTGCTTCAATCGTTTGGTTTTCATTTTGACTTTATGTGATTCACATAATCCAAAGAAATTATAGAGCTATTAACAATTACGACTGAAGATTTCATATGACGTGTGAATTATATTTGGAAGGAATTAGCCAGTATCAGATGCCATGTGCATTGCATCAATTGTTTGATATTCATTTTGACTTTATTGATTCACATAATCCAAAGAAATTATGGAGCAATATAAACAACTGAAGATTTCATATCATTTAAATGAAATGTTAGAACAGAAAGGTAAGACACTAAATGACTATGATTTAGAACAATATAATATGAATTTGAAAGAAAATCAACTTCTTTATAGAGATATTGATGACAAGTTAGAAATAATTGTTTCTAATCAAGATAGAAACAAGATTAATTGTCTAAAATTGATTAAATCTAGGCAAAAGACGTGTATATGGCTAGATTTAGAGCAAGTGATTGACAAAAATGGTACCATGTTTTTTTTTTTTTTTGTTATCGATGATCTTGAAATTTAAAGAATAGCGGATATAAAGAGCAGTGAGAGGCAATTCGCTGATACGGAGCATAGATAGGGATTGTATCCTGAGCACATGACACCGGATGAACTGGAAAAACATTTTTATATCATATATTGCCTACAATTGCAAGATCGAGAGTTATGATTGTTTTCGCTATGACATCTTCTAGAGTAGCAGCTAGTTAGTTTACTTCCTGTACGTTGAATCTTTCTATGGTACCTTTTCCATTTCTAAAGAGACAGATTTTTTGAACAATGTGTGCAAATAAGAAAATCAAACAAATAATAAAAACCTGCATAGCAACAACTCAATTAGTGCAAAACAATACCAAATTAGACGTCATACAAAACACTGGTAAGTGGTAACCTCCGAACCACTTCTCCTACTCATTGTTCAAATTAGTTTTAAAAAGATCAAATTCATAGTATAATTTTATTTATTTTTTATTTTTTGAATTTTGGTGCAACTGTATAATTTCAAATGATTCGGTATAACTTTCGAATGAAAAATAAGAAAGATAATAATTAAAAATTAAGTTTAATTAAAGTAAGAGAGAAATAAAGTAAAATTAGAATTTGATATCCGGGACACTGGTCATCATTTGAGGGGTGGTTTGTTGAAAAAAAAAATGTAACAGAGAAAAGTAGAGTAGATTGATACAGATGAAAACGTTTTATCGGTTGAATAGTTGAGTGGATGCCTACCAATTATGCATATAGAACCGTCCAATTGAAATTTTTCTTGTCAGTTAAGCCCAAGATTTTATTTAAAATGAGAGTAGAATACACATATTTAACAAGCAAAAATGGCATAACAAATTAGCATGTGGTATATATTGCTTCCATGATTTATATGTGATTTGTATTACTTTCGAGAAATTCAGTATAAATCAGTATATACTTGAAATCATATGTAATTAATTCTGTGAACCAATACAGGCTTACGTGTTCGTAACTTAATTAGAAATATGTAGGATTACATACAAGTATATAATTGAATGACATTTAAGATTCTTTTGATTAAATTGGATCATCAATTTTCAATTTAGACAAGAATTAACCATTGACAAGTAATTGAGGATTGCTACCGTTGATTTGTCGTCCCAATGCTTTGCTTGATCGAATTTTATTTTAAGATCATATGCATTCGAATTACTCAGTTTAATTGTTAATTAGGAAAATCAATCCCAAAAACTCAAATATTTAATTTGTGTATTTTCTTAAATTTAGTTTTGATTAAGGTAGAATTGAAAATCAGTCTTCATTAAACGATAATTTATCTATCATTATATTATTTATTATGATACCATCCGCTTGTGGATAAAGTTGTAACAAGTTTTTGACGGATTATTTCTTTTGATTATTACTTTATTTAGTTTAGCTTCAACAAATTTTTTCTATTTTCCTTTTTACCTTTCCTTTTGATGTTGATTTTCCATTCTTCTCCTTGTTTCAGGTTTGCACTCGTACACGCGTCGTTTGAAAAGTCATTAAAAATAGATTTATTGACATAAAAATTTTAATTTTTTTTATTGTATACTCTGATAATTTGGTCAACCTAATAGCAGTTTAGTATTACATGGTAATGCATAAATAAATAATTCCATAAAATAAGGATGTTTAATAATTTAAATAGGCATAAAATTCGGATACAAGATTATTTATTTATTTATTTATTATTATTATTTTTGAAATGAAAGTCTGTAAAAGTCAAATGAATTTTTTAAAAGGCTATAGATGTCTGTACTGGGTATTGTACTTACATTTTGAAATCTTGTTACTGGGTTCTGCACAAGTTGAAAGAAAAGTGTACAAGGGTCATGGAAGACACAAATTTAATCTGGTTCTTTTGTTATACAAAAAAAATAAATTTACACGCAAGTATCAATTGGCATTTTACTCTAAATCAGAAGACACGAAAGAGCCGGAACAGCGAATTTATATATAATTTCCCTAAAAATTAAAATTCTTGCTCCTCTCCATACATATATTATCCAATATTCTTTGTAAAAAATGTAATCAAATTGAAATCTCCATCATTTCAGCTGCCAAATTCTCCAGCATCAGTGCTTCTACTTCTCTATTGCACAACATCTTGTTCCCTGTGATTTACCAAATTAACATTTATTAATTAACTGTCACTCTATCACTTGCAAAGGAGAAGTTAAATGGACAGAAACTTGAATTCAGGATCTTTATCTCCTCTATTATCATATTGAAATAATGCGATGAATTCAACTAAATTAATTAGAAACTGAATAGAACTCACCGTAGAGAGACGATATTGTTAGATTAGGAATAGGGTTTGGGAGCTTCTTAAGAGGGCAGGATGAAAGTGGAAGAACTGGTAGATTTTGACAATTGCAAATTTCAATCATATAACCATCTGGATCATGGAAGAACAATTGATCCACTGTTATGCCTCCTTCTTTAACCACTGCTGTCACATATTCTATCTTCATTTCTTCCAATTTCAGAATAATGAGTTCCATATCTGAGCATTGAAATGAAATGTGGTTGTCTTTTGGATTTATTTTCTCCTTTTTGTTGGGAACATTTTCCGCAGCTTCAAGCAAATGGATTCCTATTCCATGGTTGAACAACCTACAAAGTACATTCAATTTGGATTAGTAATCAAATTACCGCCAGAGTCGAAAAATATTCTTTGGAGCATTCGACTAGACACAATAACACATACATACACATAGATATGAATCTACGTACCAAGCTCCTTCAAAGTCAAAAGAAGAGGGTCTCTTGATTAGGACGAATCCAAGAACTTCCTCATAAAACTGCACAGATTTCTTGACAGATTTGCAGACAAAAGAGACATGATTTAATGACAAAAATGGCAAGTTCTTTGCTTCATTAGAATATGCTAATGACTCACTCAACATCTCCTCCACTTCTACATTCACAATCTCTCTTGCCATCTCTCTCTAAAACTCCCTCTTTTAGTCGTAATATAGTAATATATGCAGTCCTCTAATTGCATTGATTATAATGTACACACATATATAAGCAGAATGAATAGAGAAGATGGGGTGGGGGTGGTATATTTGCCATCCCAATCCTAGGTGATATGCACGTGATCAGTTCAACTTTCAATCTTATCCACGGACGCAATTGGAATTGATCAACTTGCTAGACCATTTAACATGGCTGTTGAGATGTTATCCAAAATATATTTGAATAGAAGGATTCATTAAGATTTACAAGTAAGCTTTGTGCAGATTTCACAAGGAATGTACTGCTTATTCTAGAATTAAATAAATACTTGATAATTATAGACTCGGATATTTGTATATTATATTGTAATATTGAGACTATAGAGAATTGAACACGATTAAAGAAAACAAGCGTACGCATGACAAAAATTGCCATTATTGTTTTTAATCTCATCTAGAACAATATGTTTAGTACTTAAACGTAAATTTAAGCTACTTTTCGGCAAAGTTTTCTTAGAAATAAAAAATTGCTTATTTTAAAAGTAAGATATGAATTACATCCAATATAATATATGTAACTTGTTTGGCTTCATCTTTGACAAATAAAAGTTCATTTATTTTTTAAATTAGTTATTTACTTAAAAGTAGTTTTTTAAGCTTAACCAAACACGCATACTAAAGAGTTGAGTGATGAAAATTAGGAACATATATAATTAATATATCAAAGTACATTGGACGCTTAGGCCTGTATAATTTTGGACCCAAATTATTTGTGCGTTCCTTCATGACTTCACCTACAATTATTGTTTCCACTATTAATTGCTGATAAACGTTTCAAGTATAGGGCCCGTTTGTAGTCTGTCAAGAAAACAATACTTAAAAGCTATATAAAGAAATTATTCAATCATTTTTTTTAAACAAGTAATTGGCTCTCATAATGTAGAGTAAAGACTTGAATCTACTTACCATCTCAGAGTATGTATATAAAATAATAGAATAATTACTCATCTACACTAAATATTTCTTCAATGAAAAGTTGTATACATTCTCGTAAAATTTCATCATGAAAGGAAAGTTTGATATATTGAATAAGATAGCAAAAACATGATTATGGATTAGAATTAGATACTTCGTAAAATTGATCAATTGTTCTATTGAGATGTTGTCCTGAACGTACCAGGTAAAACTTGATAATATTTAATAATATAAAATACATTTAAAAAATGTTTGGTTGTGTCAACAAGTTAGTTTGAAATTTTCTGTAAGTTTCTTTTTATATTCTGCAAGTTCTTCTGCACATGATTGACTTTAGCTAGCTAATTTGAGGGGGAAAAAATATGAACCAATCATTTATTATTTTTTTTATTTTTTTATTAATTTTTTTTTTGGGTGTTTACACTGTCCTAAATTATTAATGAAACTTGACAAAGCCAGCTGTTCAAATTATTTCCAAAATTCTTGATTCGTTTTTCGATTCAATTAATTGCAGGGAATACCATTTTGTGAAGCAACATAGGCTGATTTTATTTTTTTAAATAATTCTTTCTCTTATTCTATATTTATAAATATTGACATATATTTTTGTTCCTGTCTACAAGAGAACAACATTAACATCAGTGTCCATTTACCGATATTAAGCCCCCTTCTTTTAAGAATAAATTTTCTGAAAATTGATTTTTTCAGAGTATGTATTGCTAAAAGTGAAAAAAAAAAAAAAAAAATTGACCAATTTCTAATCAAAGTGCATCAAACATTTTGTGACATTATCACAGTAAAATGAAATGGCATTTTATTATAAGTTTATTGACTACCTTTTTTAAATCGTAATATTCGGAGATAGAAATCAATAAGTACACTAGGAAACGACAACCACGTTGGTATCTCTCTAAGACTACTTCGAACGGTACATCAAATTTGGTGTAAAACCATTCCAATTGTACACCAAATTTGGTATAATTTTACCCACCATTTTCTTTTACACTAAATTTTTGTTCCATCCATGTTCTTATTTTTTGTGTTAAATTTGGTGTTAAGAGTATCTCCAATGGTTACACCAAATTTGGTGTAACTTTTACACTAAATTTCATGCAATTTGATGTAACCTCTACACCAAATTTAGAATAATCATTGGAGATGCTCTAACATTCTCATCATTTATAAGCAAAAGAGAATTTTGTAAGAGTTTGAATCAGGCAAAATCAACACCTAAATTAGATAGTTTAAGAATATCATCTGATATAAATGAATAACACAAAAGTGAAGCATTCCACCACCATGTAAGGGCACAATACTAGGAGTTCTAGAGGCCAAGCAGTCTGCCATTCGGTTGCCCTCTTTGTAGATATGAGTAACAATAAAATTCATCTATAATACCTATCTCAAACCGAATACCAACACCATAAATACTTGAACGCGGAATAGCCACCAAATATATAGAGTTCTAAATTTGAAAGCAATACAGACGCCAAAGGAATTGATTGTGTTAGCCTCTTTTTCATTCACTTATTGTTCGTGGCAATTTGAATTAATGAAGTTCTTTGTTTGGCCGCTAGAAAAAATAAAGAAAAATCAAGAGCATTATTATTTTAATGGTAGTGGAGATGATGATTATTTAATGTTGAAAGATTTAATTCAATAAGTGTGATCCAATTCTAATATAAGTTTTTTGATTTAATGGTTAACATGATAAAGACTAAGCCCCGTTTGATTCTCATTCTTTGACCACAAAAATGAAAAATATGATCGTTATCCATCATATCAAGCCACCATATTTGACTTTCTATCTCTTGTGTAATCCCGTAACGACTATATTTTTCATTCTCATTCTTACAAAAATGAGTACCAAATGGAGCCTAAAACAAAATACTTAGAGTTCAAATCTCCAATCTTACGTTCATTTATTTATTTGAAGATATGCATGTGTTAAGTTGTGATGTGATTCACGTGATAGAGTATGTTGAAGATAAAATTTAAATGAATACGTTAACATGGAATGCTACAATATCCTAAAGTATGTCAATGCTTTTTGACGTTGAGATGTTAAAAAGATTCTTAAAGTCTTATAAAATTATACACATCATTAATCTAAAAGTATACAAATAAAAAATATGTTTTCTCCACCTATTACAATACATAATTAATTGCTCTATATTAACTTATTATGAGTAAGATGATTTGAATCAGGCTATTTGTAAAAAGTGTATTTACAAAATTCGTTGACAAAACAAGTGTTAGCAAAATCCAAATCATTGATTTCCAATGACTTAAAAATCCGTATTTGAAATGATAAGAGTATATATTATTTTGTTTATCAACTTTGTAAACCAACTTTGTACACATAGCTTAACTCAGATGATTTTCACTCAACGCCACTTAAAACATGGATTGTTTTGTAGTGTAGCATAGCAACATCTACGAAACATCAAGAGATTTCCCTGCATTTAGATTCTTGACATAAAATGGGGTCAATATTACTAACCTATCTAATGAACTGGTCTTCAAAGATATCCCAACTATTTTTGAGGACTCGGATAATAGTAACTTGCATAACAGCCAGTGCTGCATTCTCCTTGATTCTTAGCCATTTGATTTTCTGTTAAGATAGTTTAATTGTAAACCATTTTTTTTTTCCACAGCTATATTCGCGTCTGTATTTCTCTATATATCTCCAATATAATACAATAAACATATCAAACGCCATTTATTATTGATTGTTTCAGACAATAAGTCATTGTTTGAGCCACATTATATTCCTAAAAATGCATTTTTGAATAGTGCATTGATGAAAAATATGTTGTTAAAATATAAAAAAAAGTTTTAGATTTATGTATAATATTATTTTATTGAAGAATATGTGGTTGAAATGATATCAAATCACTGTTTAAGAATGTATTTTTTTGAAAAAAAAGTGACTCAAACATAGGCTAAATGTATAATTGCACTTGATACTTTTCAAGAACGTTGGTTGTACCTAAAAGCATGGTGGTTGTACTTTTTAGTGCAGTAGACCAGTAGTTGTTGAAGGCTAGATTAACTTCCACTATTTCCTATTTAAACATTTCGCCAATATCATTATATATAATGGATATTATTCTTATTTAAGTTTGAAAAGTCATTTGCTTAACGTGTAGATATAATATTTTTGTTAAATTTGATTTTTATCTAAGTTTGAAAAGTCATTTGCTGAAAAGTCATTTGCTGAACTTCTAGAAATAATATTTTTTGATAACTTATCTCTGCTTTAACTAGTCAGTATTGAGTTCTCAGTCCATTGTAATATAAAGATAATGTTATGGCAGTTCAATGCAATTGCAGCTTAGAAAAACTGATTTTATTTCAGTTTAGCAAATATTGTGGATTTAGTTGTTACTGCGTATAAACGATTCAAATTTTCTCTCCGTCAATTTAGAACTTTTAACTGTTGGGTTTATTAATTTGTCACGCACGGGCATACATATGTAATTAATTGTATTTAAGGCTATTTTAAAGTTGAACACAATTAAAGTGATTTAATAAACAATTAAATTGTTGGCTTAGGCATCTAAATAAATTGTGGGCCAGATTATATGTCTAAAGACCGGATCCATTATAGTTAAGATTCCTTGATGGATGAACATACATATAAAAATATAAATAGGACTATAATCCCCAATTCATATGCAACTTCATATTCTTTGTACTTCCTATCAACACAAGGAAAATAAAGATAAAGCATATTGAAGGAGAATATCCAATACCCACAATCAAGAATCAAGAAGAAGGTATTCAAAAATCAAGACTATGGATCAAAAAGAAAACCAAGAACAAGATTTAAAGAATTAAAGGACGCAAAATTTAAAATTAAAAGTGAAGAAGCTAAACATTAAGAAGTTCCAGTATTAAGAAATTATTCTCGATGAATTAAGGTATGTTCCGCATAAGAGTGTCAATTTGACTCGTCGGCTCGAAAAGCTCTTGTATTGGCCTGGGAAAAGTCCGAGCTAGCCTGTGTCACAGAGATGTATTCATAAACGAAGACTCCAAATTAGACTCCAATGGTATAGAAGCCAA